CATTCTTGATGTGTATAAATTATGTAAGTACAATACATGTTTATTTGCATACGATTTGAAAAATGGCCGCCATGCACACTCTCTGGATCATTACGCCTTATCAATATCACATCCATACCATACACGATCAGTAACCTCTGAGAAACTTGCCACACCACAAATTAATTTAAGTTCAACTAAGAAAAGTCTGACATTTTCTCTTGTAAAACATTGGAATGAGCTCCCAACTTCGTTAAAAATATTAACTTTACGAAACTCGTTCAAAACGGCATTAAAAAAATATCTTTTAACTAATGTATAAATACATGCATTATTGTAGTATATGTATTAGTATTGTCTATTTTTGTTTTCTTCATTATTATTGATTATGAGAGTTTGTAGTCTCTTTACTTACTTAATTATGTATTTATTTATTTATTTATTTTTAACTTAACAATATAATTTTTTTTGTGTATCACTATTCACAACAACGTATATTTTAACAGTTGAGTATGGTTTTGGGGCCAGGGACTAGATTAGTTCTGCTAGAACTACCTCTCTGGTCCCCACCAGGAATAATATATATATTATTATTATTCATTCAGATAAAGTTCCCTGTACAATTGTCTCTTTTTTCTGGTGGAATAAATCTATTCTATTCTATATTGTTCTATTGTTCTGAGTATGAGCTGAATGTTCCTTGTGTAATGAGCATGTGCAGGAAACCCAGGTGTACTGCATTTGCATAAAAACAAGAAAATACATTACATAAACCATAACTAAATTTGTGCTCTCCTGGGTAGTGCAACCACCGCATATCGCATTTCATGCTTGTTGTTTAATTTGTGCGAATAATTGGAGTAAAGTATAGATTGATAAATTATCTGCGTTTCGTATATTAGCAGATAATTGCTATCTATTCGTATGTAAATTATTCAGGTGCCATTGCACCTGTTCTGACTAGTTATTGGCTAAATAACCAGGTGATCATGGGTATATAGTAAGAAGAGTGTTCTATTGTATTCACTCATGATGTATTTTTTCTTATTTATATGTTCTTTTTTTAATATGGATGATCCCCGACATCCACCCCTAGATACATCTGACATTGTGTCGGGTACAGGTTTCCAGATGTTTTCCCCCTTAATGATTTTTTTTATATCTGGTTTTCCTGGGCCGTCAATGTATTCGCGATGGGGATTTATCATCAATTATTCCGTGAATATTTACATATGTAAGGGATACTTGTAATAAACGCGTGTGGCTCCTGGGTACTGCAACCACCGCATTCCATGCTTGTTGTTTAATTTGTTTAACATATCATTCAATGTAATTAAACTGCTGAATCAGACTGTTCATAAAATCTCGGATACTTTTACTGTTGTGTCATGAGGTTTGCATTGCATAAAAAAATGAATTTCAGAAATATGTTATCATACTTGGATTGAAATAGCAATATTTTTACCGGATTGGTTAATTTAGTCAGTTAATTAAGTCAGTTGTGTCTACAATTATACGAATAAATGCCACATCGTCTTTGACGTATTCGCTTTGACCACGATCTAAGGCATTCAGTGGCATAAACAAGGGGCACCCGGATGCGATGTTCATATCTCCTGTTGGGCGTTTGAATGAACTGGACGAAGGGTCTGGTCGAAAAGCGTCAATCACATGCTCCCTGTTGGATTGATCCAGCCACATCAAAGTGACTTTCTGACGAAATGGCCATTTTAAGATTGCGTCATACTCTCCTTTCATCACTACAAAGAACAAAGACACGTGATTTCCCTTGCCCATACCATCACCGTTCAAATACACCCTAGCACATAATTTGTAGCCATAAGGACTGGTGAAGAAATGCGGAGAGTATATTGAAGTCGTGCGTCCTGAAATTGCATCACGTCTCTTTCTAGCAAAGTCACTAATTTTCCATACTAATACTCCATCATATGTTGTCATCTCAAGCAATTGAATTCGTAAATCTTGTTCAGCCAATGATACATCCTTCAATGCGATTATACGATCCTGTGATCGGCACTTATTTTCTAAATCTTTAATTCGTTGTTTGATTTGATTTTCCTGACGTTTTATAATCCTTAGTTTCTCGTCGTTATTTTCCATTTCGCGCGAGAGAACAGCAACCATCCCTTCATATGTATTGACTTTACGCTCTAATACGATAAGTTTAGCGAGTAATTCTTTGATTTGTTTCTGTTTACTATCGATTACGTCTTTCAATTTGTCATTTGAATTTCCCTCCGAAACATATTTAGCATTCCGTTGCAATGATACTTCACATTCTTTTACGCGTTGTTGTATTGTTCCAATTCTAGCCCTATTTTGCTCTATTATGGGATTTAATTCATTGATGTGGGCTCTGTCGTTCTGAATTCTTGATATCAAGTCTTTGGATTTAACTGTGCTGTTACGAAGAAGCTCTAAATGATGTTGAACTTCGTTCTTATTGTGCACGGACTGTTGACCTTCCTCTACCTGTAACAAATACATACGTTAATAATGTTTGTATAAAAGAAATTACATAATATAAATAAAAAAAACTGCGATGTGAGGGTTTACTGACCAACTTGATTGGTGAATCGGTGTTAACCTACAATAGATTAGCATATCGCAAATCAATCATAATACTGAACGCCTAGTTACCAGAAACGTCCCAAGTAAATACTAACTCGTCAACATATATTCGCAACGATGGTATATATTCCACAAAATGTTTACGTTGATACAATACTGCCAACATTTATTTATCCAATGTATTTATATCGGCGTAGAGCAATGCGTATTCAATCCGAGTCCATTTCAAGAATTATTTGCACCATCAATTTGAAGTGGTTCGATGACTACCAAAATTAGTTTTTAATACAGATGTATAAAACAAATTATGTACACATGTCAGTATATGTCATCCGGGTATTTGTGGAATAATCATACTCACCATTATTGTGCATCCAATTGGTTCGTATTCACATGGCTGCCTCTTTTTCGTACAGTCACCAGTTGTAATATCTTTATGTTTTTCAATCTAATATAATTTAATTTTTAAACATAGCTGTTTATTTGCGCAAGGTGCCATATTTAATTTAATGTGTAAATGGTCGTAACACCTTTGGTGTAATAATATTTAGTCAGAAATGATACATTTCTCAAAGTAACAGGCCGTATTCATTATGCGAATTGTCCTTAAACATTTGTAATTAAAACAGTATTCTTCACCCAGTTGTTGAGTGTGTGCCACTGAAGAATAACATAGTCTCTAGTTACATTAGTAGGTAATCAAATCGTAATGAGATGAACTACGATGCGATGCCAAAAAGTGTGTAAAACTGTATAATTTAACATAATATCGTTTCACTGTTTGAAAGACAAACGTTGCGACTGACATATGTGTGCAAGCATAGTACTTACCTTCTCTCTCAATAACGCAACACCACACAAATCACATGAAACTTTCATTTTCGGGCATTGATTCTGGTGAATCTGAAAATATGAAACCAATTTGTCAGTTTAAACGTAATGTGATTTTGAATATTCAATTCATATCTACTTATGGGAACTCATTTACCTTAAGATTGTTATAACTATAGTCTATATCACAGTATGTGCACTTAACCATGCGCATGTAACATTCTTCCGTTGTGTGTTTTTCTAGGTGTTGTCTTTGTATTAGCTGGGTGCACCCTTCCAAGGAACAAATAATTAACTCGAATTTACAGCTGTCAACGTGCCCCTACAACGAATAAACAAAGTATATGTTATTGAAATGAATTGCAAATTCAATACCGCATAATACAATTAACAGTGATTAGTACCAACTAAGAGTAATTAATAATCACGTTACGTCACAAACACTCAACATAGGAAGTCATTTCTAAAAATCTGAAGCAATGATCGATATAACCAAGCAACGGTTCGAAATTACGCATCTGAAAAACCTTTATATGAACTGTAGTGTTTCCAAATTTAATATAGTTTATGTTTGAGAAGATATGTATGCATTGTAGTGTACGCGCACACTCACATATTTTCTCTGTTTTAGTTACGCTTGACACGATAATCCCAACTCATTCTCATCACCTCCAAACTTCAATATTCTTTAGTCTTGGCTATTATATCATATTGAAATTAATGTGATGTACGTGGCGACTTGTATATATTATCTAATAATAGTATGTGAAGGCTACGGATTCATTTTACACCGCAATTGATACCAACGCTGCGTTGCGATGATTTGCTACTCGCGCTGTCAATCACTTGGCTAGTGTATAAATACGTCTGTCACTGTAACGCTATAAGTTACAGCGTGCGTAATTTTGCGGTACTTTACGGGGTATTTTCATCCTACCATATTAGGAAATGCGAATACCAAATATGGACTGATTACGCGCGTAAACGTCCTCTAATAATAAAAACAAATATGGATGCCACCAGGGTTTGACCGGACTCCACACAAAGAAGTTCGCTGATTCTGCTCTAAACGTTTAGAATTTCGGCATTCCCATGATGTATACTTGGGAGGAAAAGATATATAATAATAAGGTTATTACGGGGATATCTCAACGTATGCACTCAGACTGCATGTCGCTGCGCGTCGGTCGATACTCTCGCTGTACTGTCTCCATGCATACTTTGAGGTATCCTCGTAATAACCTTATATTATTACACGGCGTTATCACACGGATAACCATAATTTATAGGATATAAATACGTGCAAGTGTGCTATCTACTGATTTCCATTCCATTTCCACAGGCGTTGCTGCAGTTTTCCAACGAGTGTCATAGAAACAGAACAGCTGGGCAGTGTAAATAAACGTAATTCATTCGAAATGTTTTAATTATCACATTTTAGTACAAAACGTAATACAAAATGTGGGGAGTTCATAAGCTGTCAAGTTAGTGTAACGTCGTCCACCTGAATTGCCATGATATATGGAATATTATAATAATAATAATTACCGAGCTGGAGGTCAATATTCAGTTTTGATGATTGAAAGATGAATGTATTGACCGAGGCGCAGTCAAGTTTTTGCTTGTCAGTTCTACATGCACTTCGGTGCATCTACCACAGATGGAGATCCACAAGTTTGCAGTCATATTTGTTGTACGTCACTTTTCTTATAATTTGTAGAACTGTCAAGGACCAGATTCCCAGTTACGGTACGACATTGTCTTGGAGTCACGCTGCCACATTTTATCTGCAGGGGAGATTATGGGAACCACGCTTCTACTCTTTGTGTACTAATTTGCAATTTACATCAATGGTTTTACCAAAACATGTATTTTTTTCGCTCACAGAGCATCATGCAAATTCCGTCGCTGTTCTGTGTCTTCCAGATCGACCACCCCAACTTAGGCAGTATCCCATGTCATCATCGTAAGAAGGGGAAATCACAAGTGACCCTGTAATTTATCTGCGTTTTGTGCAAGTGTGTTTTTTTTGCAAATGACGTGTATCATGCAAATCTGCACATAGGCACATAAGCATTCAACTGGTATTCACACCCGGTTCGAGTACCATACAGTTTTGTCATGGCTAACATACAGGAAAAAAACAATCACAGTCTGTATGGCAGATATACACCATACAATGCATTATTTTTTACCAGCATGATTGTTGTATTATCAGTTCGCCCTCAAACGTTTGTTAGTCACTGCCAGTTGCTCACACTGTTTATTTTCTAGTGGTGACATTAACAGCAGTTGAATCTAGAAGATATTTCCCACATGAGCCAACCGCTGTTGAGGTCCACGATTGAATGAAGGAGTGTCAAGAAGAACTCCACTCATTCTATGTTTGGCTTCAAATGTGTTTACAAGGTGTGCTCGACAATTGTATCTCAACTAAATGCAGGGTGCATCTTTGGGATGCCTTCGGATAGACGACTGGAAGGAAAACGTCTTCAGCATTCCTGTATTCACTTGCAACTAACTTACGTAGAGATGAAAATAGATATGCAGAAGTTATGCAGTATCCCTCAGACAAGCACTGCACGAATATCAGAGAAAATGTCATACTAACGATGTCCCACAATTCACAACATTATGCAAAATCACGTGGATTGTGGGAAGGATGTGAGAGCCCTCTAGTGCTGTATGTCTCATTTCACTCTAGAACCCATCGTTAAAGAGGAGTGTGTCTAGCAAGAGATACCACCCACAGGTGTAGAGAGTCACTAGTTTGGATCATTCACAAATGTTGATTGGAGTGTACTTCCTGTAAAACCCACCTTTAACAGTGTTTCCAATGATATTTTGAAATTCAGTTTTTATGTTTGGTTCCATAATTGACAGGTAAGACACTCACCTCATATTCGCGAAAATAACCCGTCCAAGTGCAGCCACTATTCACACACAGAACGTTCAAAACTCTCATTTCACGCGCAATGGCTCTATCTAGAAAGATCTAAACATAGTGTAAAAATAAATACATTACATTCATATCAATGTAATCGACAAATTGTATTGCCCATTGGAATTGTTGACGAATTATTAATTGATATTTGTTAAATATAATCTTACTTTATCGAGTGACAAAATATAGTCATCTGAATTGGGATCCTCTGAGTAACATACAGGACATCGACTGGTTATATTATCACTAAAGCTAAATATAATAATGACATTAGCTGTGTTTAATGTACATCGCATGAGTTTTTAGACTACATTACAATGCACGAAAACTTTAAATGGAATTGATCTCCCGCTCATGAAGAACTATTCCCAATTGAGAATAGTGTCTGAAAATAAAATCATTGTTTATGCACATTCATAGTGTATTACCTGTGCCATAATGTATGTGTGTATGTTCGCAATATAACTCAAAAAAGATAGATATGGCACACGTGATCTACAAGATATGGTTACATTTCCGGGGTCAGAGCTCATGGTACAGTATATATATATATGAGTAAACTAAAATATAACTACAATGGTAGAATAGCCAGTGCCTTCAAACAGACTATATTTTCAGCTCAAAGATTTTTGGCTGTTCATTATATATGTCCAAGAGGTGAATAACTATGGCCTTAAAACTCGCCATTCTTATTTATAGTCAGTGCATTTAAACAAAGCACACATGTTCCTTGTGCGAGTTCAATACTTAGTTACTTCTTAAGGACAATAGGTATGTGTATGTGTGTGTTCGTAATTTACATACAAAAGAAAAAAATGGCTACTGCCTTCAGACTTTAAGAACTTGTGACCTGCAAGTCTCATTTGCATTTACTGGGTCAAATGGCAAATTTGGACATGATCTATTGACTCAGTCGTTTGGCAGTAATAAAATAAGTCCCCCTGGTGACGTTCTCGACTTACCTTATAAGATTATCAATGCAATATCTGCAGAATCTGTGCCCGCATATGCTTTGTACTGGATTATTTAATATGAGTCTACAGCTCATGCAAAAGTATTTGTCAGAGTGGTCTCCCGCTGACAAGATTGTTTTGGGGAAGCCTCGCCCCTTCGTTCTTAATCTGCTCAAAGCCATCACATTTACCACCTTTGTGTTTAGTACGATTTGATTTCTCCGTGTTTTTTGGTGAATGTCGTTGGTTTTGTGCGATTACATACAGGGCCATCTAATTGGCTACAACGGATTTTCTCGGGAACAGAAGACAATTGGTATACATCTATAAGTTCAATCTGTATTTATAAATAAAAAAATGTATGATTATTATTTTACATTAGTAGCGCAAATGCTATGTGATATGACAATTTTGTGTTTGATCATGAAATGAGATAAAATCTTCCATCTAACTGTCATCTACTTATCAATTGTTTAATGTGGATTGCTGTAAAATAATTAAAACTCAGTTCTGACATTGTAACATGTTTTACTGCCGTCAATAACAAGTTTTGTGAGTAAACAACTGGGTTTTCCGACTGAAATACCCAGAGTTGCTACTCACTTTTTAAACAAAGACAGTGTTGTATGCCCGCACATGATTGGTGATTACATTATTTCAAGATTTGAACGCGTGTGGGCGCACTGCGATTGGGGTTGTTTTTGAATGAATAAACTTAGTTCGAAGAAAGTTCCAGAACTTTCCCCCAGGAGCGTGCATGAATTGCAGTAATACACGAAAGGCAAAGGTTATTGAACTTATAGAATATGCTGATAAACTGAATATTCGTCTTTTGGAGCCCAACAATCGTGAAATATCGAGTAAGCCCCCTCGTACTTTGCAACTTTCACAAAGTACCAGGGATTGAAATAAACATTACCAATAATAATTATGTGTACATGACAAATGTTTATTTGTTATTTTAATTTCGTTCGCTAATCATGATATTTCTGTGTTTTGCGATTCCATGGCTGATATCTTCAGGTTCACGTTTGCTGTTATCGTCACTGCCGTTGTACATACAAATATAAACACGGCCATTCATTGGTTTTGTTATCAGCATCGATCATATGTCTCCTGAAAATAAGTGTGGCAGACTAAACGAACAGTGAATGCGCCAAGCAAGTTTCAAAATGAAATAATATCTTCTTACATCATGGAAAGGTCATGGAAAGGTCATAGAAAGTAACGTCCGAAAGTCGGAGATATTTCGCCAGATTTGTTTTATTGATTGTACTGGATGAACACCAGTAGCATTGCAACTGTTAACCTTTATATATGCATGTTGGTCCGAATCTGGAAATAATACGCTTCCCGCACGATGCTAATGAGATGCGTACAATGTGTTGTATTAATTAAACCCAACTCCACGGGCCGAACACCAATGTCATCCGGGTACTTTGCCCTCTGTTGTGTTCTGGCGAGACCCGACAACTCGAATGTCGGGAATTGAAAG